CTCACACACACACACACACACACACACACACAGTCTCTCTCTCTCTCTTTCTCTCTCTCTCTCTCTCTCTCTCTCTTACACACACACAAAACCAAGGAGACACCGCTTCTGATCCACTAGAACATACAGTTCAGAATCTAGGCTTTGCTGGAGTACAAGCAATGTACTTCACTGTAACAAAAAGGAATCATTTCTGTAATGTGTATCTCCAAACAGAAGAGCAGGCCGGAAAGTATTTTGCTGGTATAATAAACTTGCCTGTTCAAACAGTTTCTCTTTAATTATTAGCCTGGCCCTTGTATCTTTGGCTAATCGATAGCTGGCCTTTTGATGAAATCGGGTGTCATTTCCGTGTGGCTTAACTTTGTGCAAACGGTAAATTGTCCAAGATTAATGATTGTAAAGGCACTACCTTAACATCAGTCATTTTCCCTCTGCTTTTAGCACAGAAGAACCTCTGCCCGGGTGCCTGAACTCTGATCCCGACACAGCATGGTAAGTTGTGGAGTGCCTCACCCTACCTGGTGCCAGCCGCAGGCAGGTACAGGATGTTTACTCAGTGGCTGTTGACTTAGACAGAGGGTTGTTTGCTCAACAGATGGCAGGGAGGAGGAAATGAAAAGGCGGTTTTTTTCTTTGTTTTAATATTTTTATTGATTTCAGAGAGGAAGGGAGAGGGAGAGAGAGATAGGAACAGCCATGATAAGAGAGAATCATTGATTGGCTGCCGCCTGCACGCCCCCTCTTGGAGATGGAGCCCACAACCCAGGCATATGCCCTTGACAGGAATCGAACCTGAGACCCTTCAGTCCACAGGCCAACACTCTATCCACTGAGCCAAACCAGCTAGGGCAAGGCAGTTGTTGTTTTGTGTGTGTGTGTGTTTAAAAATATATTTTATGGCTTTTTTACAGAGAGGAAGGGAAAGGGAAAAGGATAGAGAGTTAGAAAAATCGATAAGAGAGAAACATCAATTCAGCTGCCTCCTGCACACTCCTTCCTGGGGATGTGCCTGCAACCAACGTACATGCCCTTGACCAGAATCAACTCTGGGACCCTTTAGTCCGCAGGCCGACGCTCTAGCCACTGAGCCAAGCCGGTTAGGGCCAGTTTGTTTGTTTTTAAGCACCATTTTAATTTCTTTTGGGGGTGGTGAGTAACTTGACCCTGAAAATTAATTCAAAGAGAATCCTTTGAATCCTTCTAACATCCTGAAATACAGAAACAAGTTGTAGGCCATTATAGAAAATTTAGGCAAAGAAAAAGGGAAAACTGAAAACCCTGTAGATGATACCATCAGGAGATGAGTGCCGTCCGCATGTTGGTGTAACCCCATGGTTACAGACGCATCAAGAAGGTGGTATCCAGCCATACGGGCTTGTCATCTGCCTCCTGCCTTTGACTGTGACTGGACTCCTCAGAGCTTGGTTATCTGATCTTTGAGACAGGCAGGCAAATGAATCCCTTTGAGGATTCCATAAAGTTCAATGTGAGATGAAACTGAGACTCTTAGTTGCAAACATGGCTCTACCCGAGGCTGGCCATCTGCTCTCCTTCTCCCACCCAAATACGGTTTCTGAATAGGCAGGTGACTCTGAGCCCTGGTGTTTGGGAAGAGAATAATAGAAGTGGAATCTTACACCTGGGAGAACTAGAGATCCCGTCAGATCTGGACGCCTTCCTTTAGGAAGATGGACTTGTAAACTATCCCGAACAAATAGTAATATCTAAAAAAATGTTTATGTTAGACATTCCAGAATTTTCTTCATCATCCCTGGCAGTCAAAAGCTTACTCATGTCTGTTCCAAATCATTTATGCTTTCATTTAAAATTCATTCCTTCTTGATAGATTCTCCTTGGACATGTCAAACATTTATTCAGAAGTGTTTACAGTGCCCTTACTCTATGCCAGATGTGGTATTTGGCTCTGGGGACTCAAAATTAATAGGACACCCTTCCCGTCCGTAACAAGTTCACAGCCTTCCCACAGGTGATGACTGTAATCAAGAGATCCTTTAATGTGCTTTCTACTCGAGGACAATTACCTCAGTTGCTCTCATCTTTCCTCCTAGCGCCTGTTTTCCCATCATGACTGTTACTTATTGAACAGATGAAGGAAATTTTTTGAAATATATTTTTATTGATCTCAGGGAATAAGGGAGAGAGAGATAGAAACATCAATGATGAGAATCATTGATTGGCTGCCTCCTGCATGCCCCCTGCTGGGGATTGAGCCAGCAAGCTGGGCATGTGGCCCTTGACCAAAATCGAACCCAGGACCCTTCAGTCTGCAGGCCTAGGCTCTATCCACTGAGCCAAACCAGTGAGGGCCAGATGAAGGAAATTTTTAAAGGAAAGGAAAAATACACAATAGTCACAATATTGTAATTTCTAATTATTTTCATCATTTTATTTTTATACCCTACTCAGATATATCATGGTTTTTAAACAAGTAGTAATAAGAGCATAAATAACAGTTAAGTATGTATTTACTCTAATTTTTGCAATGCTAACATGTTTATATTACATTTTGTACCTTCTTAAAATTATTTACTCTAGATGATGAAAGTATGGATGTTTTCATTTTCTTCATAAATTTTAAAAAATATTTTCCAAATCTAGACAGTGATTATATGATACATTTCTAAAGGGAAAATGTGTTTTAAAAGCTGTTGTACTCAGGCATTTAAAAAAAATTTATAGAGGTTTAATTTACATACAGTGAAATGCAGAGCCCTACGGTTACTGGTAAATGAGTTTTGACAAATATTTGTACCATGTCATGTATTTCTCTAACACGATAGGACATTTTATCACTCCAGGAAGTTCACCGATGCCCCTTTCAGGTCCCCACTCTGCTTCTCACCCCACACCAGAAATGCAGCCGTTTTCTGATTGTTACCACCATAGATAGTGACTGTTTTGCCTGTTCTAGAACAGCCCATAAATGTAAACACAGAGCATGCACTCTTTTGTGTCTGGCTTCTATTGCTGAGCGTTATATATTTTGTAATCCATCTGTGTTGCTGTACCAGCAGTTTGTTACTCCATTGCTTTTTATTGTTGATTAGTATTCCCTTATGTTGCCAGGAACAAATTTCCCAAGCTTATCTTTTTCCTGGAAAAAAAAGAGTCACTAAGAATGCTGATTGATAAGCTGAACCATGTTTGCAAATCCCTCTATTGATTCATCTTGTTAGATAGTAATTTTCATCTCTTAGTCCCTTAGTAATGCATTTTGAATGTAGTGTTTGAGTGCCATCCAATTTTTTTTTTCAACACTGGAGTTCCAAAAGAGCCTTGGAATTTTTTTTCAACACTGGAGTTCCAAAAGAACCTATGGTCAAGGGCTGAATTAGGCCATGTTGGAATTTTGATAGCAAATTATAAATATGCTTATTACAGACGATATATAGTAGAAGAAAAGAAGTGCCTGTGTTAATTTCCTGTAACAAAGTACTACGACCTGGGCGACTTAAAATAATAGAAATTTGTTTTCTCACAATTCTGGAGCCCAGAAGTCCGTAATCAAGGATTGGCACAGCCATGATCTCTATAAAACCTATGGGGTGGTTTGCTGTCAATCTTTAGGTGTTCCCTGGCTTGCAGCTGCCTAACTCCCATCTCTGCCTTAATCGTCATGTGGTGTCCTCACTGTGTGGATCTGTCTTCACATGCTGGTTCTTATAAGGACACCAGTCATATCGAATTACAGAATCAACCTACTCCAGTATGGCCCCATCTTAATTTATTAATTACATCTACAATGCCCCTACTTCCAAATAAGATCACAGTCGGAAGTACTGGGGCTTAGGACTTTAACATATCTTTTTTTGGGGGGGAGCGGGGTACAATTCCAGCCATAGCAGTATCCAAGAAAGTTAAGGTCATAGATTTCTACTTCCCTCTGTCAGGGGGTGAGGATGATGACCACGTGCTGGATGCTGACCTGGTCTTTCAGCAGATGAGGCCCACACTCTGTGGTACCTGAGGCCTTTGGATGGGCTTGGTGTGGTCCAGAGGGGGCCTGAGAGGGCCAGGCCAAGGTGGACCAGCTTAAAGAGCTCAAGTCTGACTTGCCTGAGAACTTCCCTAGTGTAGAAAACTCCTCCACGCCTTTAGATGACCCATGTTGCATCACTGGGGCAAATTAAATCGTTAGAAAGCTTTACATCTATTCTACGTGGTTTTTTGACACCTTGTACAGATATTCTATTCCGGGTTTTGCTTTGGCATTATCCCATACGCTTGCTTTAGGGATTTTAACAGAAATATATATATATACAGTATAAGAATCTCATAATTATGTTTATTGTGAAGATGTTGCTGAAGTCATATTTAATTATGGTAATGATAGCCACTGAGGTTGGGTTTTTGTTTTAGAGTTTACTGTTTGCTGGGTTCTATGCTAAGTGCTTTCCTTTATTATCCTGCTTCATTATTACAACAAACCTGAGCCGCAGTTTGCCGACCACTGCCCTAGACCATACAACCAGAAAGAATTGAAGCCAAGATTCAAACTCGGGTCTGTCCCACTCTGATTTCTGTGTTTTGTGAGTTGATGTTATTATTCTTAATATACAGGTTGGAAAAATGAAATTTCCCATAGACCATACAACTAGAAAGAATTGACGCCAAGATTCAAACTCGGGTCTATCCCACTCCGATTTCTGTGTTCCTCCCCACTAAGCTTTACTACCTCTCGCTGTAGCCTATAAAAAAATAAATAGAACCACAGTATCATCATCATACCTAAAAAAATGTTTACATTATTACTTATTGTCATCAATATTTTCAGTGTTCAAATTTCCAATTGTCTCATAAATATGTTTTTTTACTGTTTGATTCAGGATGCAAATAAGGTCCACTCCTTATGATTATTGATATGCCTTTCAAATCTCTTTTTAGCTGTAGTTCCTTTCTATCTCTCTCTTTTCTAATTTCCCTTGTAATTTATTTATCTATAACCCTGTGGTGTGGGTTAATATTTTCTTCTCTCATATTTACTGTAAGTTGGTATTTGACTCTAGAGGCTTGATCAGATTCAGATTTGATTTTCTTTTTTCTTTTGTGTATGTGTGTGTTGGGGGTTGGGGGGTTGGGTGAGCAAAATTACTGCCTAGGTTGCTGTATCACTTATTTGACCACTCTGCTCTTTGCCGACCACCTTGAGCCACCCTGGCCTCTGTCCAGCTGCTCCCATAAAAGCCAGTTCCAGCCCCAGGGCCTTTGTCTCAGCTGTTCCCTCTGCCTGTAACACTTTCCCCCTGATCTTTGCATGGACAGCTGCTTCATGTCATTGGGATCTCGGCCTATACGTCCCTCCACAGAGCAGCCCCTCCAGGACCTCTCTATTTTTTTTTTAAAATATATGTTATTGATTTTTTACAGAGAGGAAGGGAGAGAGATAGAGAATTAGAAACATCGATAGAGAGAGACATCGATCGGCTGCCTCCTGCACATCTACTGGGGATGTGCCCGCAAACCAGGTACATGCCCTTGACCGGAATCGAACCTGGGACCTTTCAGTCCGCAGGCCGACGCTCTATCCACTGAGCCAAACCGGTT